TTGAGGATACGTACCTGGTTGATGACGATACTCTCCAGTTGCTGATGTAGACAGATTGACGTGCCACGTGGCACATTGAGGAAGAACTTCAGACATTGTATTCAGACTATTGATTGATGAGGTGTTGAGGAGGAGGAGGGACCCGAAGTAGAAGTGGGCTATTGTCTTCTTCTCTCTCCTTTGTCTATTTCCCCTCTCTCCTCCTTCGTCTGTGTATGATTCTCACCTCATTCTATCATCACACACATTGCGATTGTTTGTCATTCATCAGCAGATCGATAATCATATGGACTGGTAATGTTGACGAGTATCATCACGTCTGGGCTCATTGCAATTTGGTATCAGAGCAGATCTTCCGATAATGTGACTGACACGACAACGACAAGAGTGACATCTACAACGAAGACTGACGTGGACAAGATTGCGCACGTCAGATGTTGACGTGGCATTGACGTGGCATTGATAATAGCGCACGTCATATGCTGGCATGGCATCAACGTGGCATTGATATTTGGATAGTGTAGTATCGCTGACGTGGCCGGTGATAGCAGATTGATGATGTGGCATTGCTGACTCACCATTCGGTGAGATAGGAGGTTGACGTGGCAGTGTCATATTCAGTTACCTGGCTTACGTGGCGCGTTGGTACCGCTCCTGACGTGTACCCCCTTGATGATGTTGAGTGGATTACGGTGTTGACGTGGCAGACAGAAGTGCTGCTGTGTTGGCACTCCAGAGGATACACGTGGCAGGTTGGAACTTCGACTTCGGGGCAGGCTGGTATTTTGATTTCAGCATACATTGCTGACGTGACGTGCACCCCATTGATGATATTGATTAGACCTGCTGACCTGGCATACTCATCAAGTTGCCCAGTTGGCAGGCCAGGGGTGACACGTAGCAGGCACGACCGTGCCTAAGTGAGGACAGCATTCTGATGACTGAAGTGGCACGGCAAGAAGACTGGCGTGGCTGTGGTGCCAAACGTCAGATTAGGTGCTGGTCACACAGGACAAAGAAGGACGAAACAGCAAGAAGGGGAAAACACTAACTATTGATTGATTTTTGTTGGCGGACTTACCTGTCGTCTGGCTGTGTTGTGTACCTGTGTACTCACTTGTGTTTGTTGTTGATCATGCTGGCCTGGAGTTGCGGTACCTGAGATAGAGTAGGATGTCGTCACATTGAAAACAGAACATCAAATAGAATTAGAAAACTTTTGTTTATTACTATTATTATTCTTTTGTCGCAGACAGCGTGTTGGTCCAGGTAACCCTAGAATTATTGTTTATCTTTTGCGGTAGAACAGTGCGCTGATTCAGGTGACCGTGAATCATTGTTTATTTTGCGGTAAAATAGTCTGGCCAACGAATTTTTGTGTTTTTGTTCTCTCAAGATGTCTTACTTCTGGAAATGTCTGCAACAATCTATCTTGACGAGATTCCTGACTACTTTTCTGTTTCCTTTTCTGATCACACTTTCCGTTGGGGAAGGACCGTCTGAGCTTAGGACAAGGGGACAGGCTGATAAGAAGAGAGAAGAATTGTTGGCTTTGTGGAGTCAGTTTCTGACTGAGGTACAGTTGTCTGGACCGGATGCCGAGCAACACATCCGTGATAATTTCGATCTTCAGGAGGTTGAAGACCGCCTGAAGAAGTCTATCACGGCTGTGGAGGTTGTGGCAGCCGGTACAGAGGCCTCCAAATTGATTGCACAGGGGCGACAGGCTCTAGACCAGTTTGCTTTGAAGCAACTGGAAGAGATTATGGAAGCTACTCGTAAAGGGGAGGCGAAACCAGAAGTAAGTGAGGAAATGATTGATGCTAACATCCAGCAGCTCAGAGACACTCTGGCTGCCGAAGAAAGGAAGAAAGAAGAATTAACCAGAAGAAGAGAACAGGAACAGCGAAGGGGACAAAAGGTTAAAGAGATCAGACAAGTCATAGGAACAGAAGTCGGTGAACAGACTGACATGTCACAAACGTTGGCTCATATTGTGACATATCTTACCTTTCTTGAGGAGAAGATTGATAGACAACAAAATCAGTTGGATGAAATCACTGTTGGATTGAGAACAATTGCTAATATTGTGAAAGGTAAGAATCAGATTCAGGGAAAAGAAGAACAAGAAGATAAGAAGGAGAAGAAAGAAGTAAAGAAGTTGATGGGGGACGCAATGAAGTCTGCTGGTCCCGTGATAAAGACAACGACTAATAAAAATGGATCCAATGGAAATGGATCAAGTCAACCATCTACTCCTCACTCTTCTCATTCTTCTAAGTCTACTCCTAAAGGAACTCCAGAAAAAACAAGCGCGGAACCCGAAAAACCGAAGAAGAAAGAAAAGGTGAAGATGAAGTTGTCGTTTACGTTTTGCAACAAGAAAGAAGAAAGTCTGTTGCTGTGGATTGCAGAAATCCAGACGTATGTGAGTACCGCACCGGTCGAGCCGGAGTCCCAAGTCGCGTTCACCACTTCTTGCATGGGTGGTGAGGCCAAGCAATGGGTGTTGGCCGAGGCCAATGCGGCGGGTTTCGAAGATATCGGTGAGTGGGCAAAGACTATGACACTGAAACAATTCTTGGCGAAAACCAGGGACCGTTTCCTCGACAAGACGACGGCCGACAAGGCCTTTGACCAGTTGACCTCAATTGGTCAAAAGCATTGGACGTCAGTTGAGGCTTTGTCCCGAGAAGTTGACCGATTGTTGCAGGTTCCTGGATTGAACCTGCAGGACAGCCAAGTGTTGTACATCTATTCCCGCGCGTTGCCTGAGCCCATCCGGGGACATTTAGTCACCGAAGCGAAGTCCGGTAAGTACAACTACAGGCAATTTCGTGACCTCGCCCTGCAAAGGGAACAGATGACTTCTCAAGTCAAGAATTCCTATGCAGCGGTAGTCAAGTCTGGAGGAGGAGGCGGAAGACAGTACAATGGGAAACGAGTTCTCTGGCGACAGAAGCGCCAGGACCACACCCTTGTCGTCATCACAGTGGAAAAGTGGCGGAATGAGGAGAATGATAACAACAGTGACTCCGGGAAGGGGGAAGTCACTGTTGTTGTGGCCAATAAGGGAGGACCACCCAGGACAGGAGGGAAGAAACAAAGAGCGTTCCCATGGCACCCTGGCATTGCTGATGGGAAGCCATGGGTCGAGATGGGTATGACTAGAAAGACTTGGCAGGAGCGCATGGACAATGCGCAATGTCTCAAGTGCGGCACAGCRGGACATGTGATCGCCTACTGCCCTCAGATCCGGAACCCAAAAGCGAACAGCCAATAGGAGTAGCATCTGCTCCTGCTGAGATTAAGGGTAAGAACGAACAAACAGGTAAGGTGCCTATGACCCCTTCCTACCCTTCTTCTCAATTGGCAGAGGATGATTTTTCCTTAGCCCATCATCCAGATCGCCCTGACATTGTCTTATGTTCTTCTCTGGATGACTTCCTTGATGAGCTAGGTAACGAATTGCTAGCATTACGTGGCTCATGGGCTCGAAAGGCGAAGACTAAGGGCGAGTTGTTGTTTGCAGATGTTGAGATCGCACGAACACGAGTTGGTGCAATGTTAGACCCAGGATCAACGAGATGCTACATCTCCGAGAAGGCAATCCGTAAGTTGCATCTCGGCATGAAGGTAAAAGACTTGTCTCGACCTATAACGTCTATGTTAGCAGACAAGAGTACGATCACTGTCTCTCAGTGTGTTGATCGTATTAAGTGTCAGTTTCGAAACGAGGGAAGGAAAGAAGATTGTGCATGAACTATCCTTCCTCATAGACAAGAATTTACCTTTTGATATCATTCTGGGTATGGACTGGCACGAAGAAGCCAACCCGGAAATTGATTTCAAAAACAAGATTGTGCAACTCAAAGATGCGCAATCAGAAATGAAACCAATTAAATTATATCACAAGTCTGGCTCTGACTCAAGTTTATCCTTTTGCTGTATGAGTTATCCAGCTTTTCGTTCAATGGTTTCTAAGAAAAAGTTGGAACAGGAAGTTATGTTGGTACTGGTAAAGAAATCCGGTGAGTCTTCTTCCTCCTGTGCTCCGACGATTGAAAGTTTTCTCACTGAATATAAGCATCTGCAGAATGAACCCACCGGAATTACTGATCATGCTATAAAGCACACCATTGAGATTATTCCGGGTAGTAAAATTCCCAAGGGCCCCATCTATCGAATGTCTTCCAGGGAACTTGAGGAGTTAAAGGACCAATTGCAGGACCTTCCTGACAAGGGATGGATTCGCCCTAGTTCATCTCCTTATGGAGCACCTGTCTTGTTTGTGCCCAAAAAGGAAGGTGAATTACGTCTTTGTATTGACTATCGAGGGTTGAATGTCGTCACTGTCAAGAATGTCGAACCACTCCCTCGCATCGACAATTTACTTGACCAACTACAGGGATGCAAGTACTTCAGTAAAATTGATCTGAAGTCTGGGCACCATCAGATCGAGGTGGAGCCCGCAGATCAACACAAGACTGTTTTCCAGACCAGGTATGGCCATTACGAGTTTATGGTAATGCCCTTCGGATTGACTAATGCTCCTGCTACATTTCAACGGTCAATGAACGATTTGTTTCATCAATGGTTGAATCAGTTCGTCATCGTCTATCTGGATGACGTTCTCATATATAGTAAAACACTAGAAGAACACGAGAAGCATCTTCGTCTGGTTTTGAGTAAGTTGCGAGAAGGCAACTTCAAAATCAACCCAAAGAAGTCTGACTTCGCTAAGTCTGAAGTTTTATACTTAGGACATACAGTGAACCAAGATGGCYACAGGCCTGAAGAAAAGAAAATATCAGCAATTAGAGACTGGCCACAACCTAAGTCTGTAACTGAGTTACGATCTTTTCTTGGCTTGGCACGCTACTATAGGAAGTCTGTCAGGAACTTCTCATTGATCGCTGCACCAATGAGAAGATTGTTTAAGAAAGGAACGATCTGGTTGTGGGACAAGGAATGTGAGTCCTCATTCAAAAAGGTAAAGTACGCTCTAACTCACTACCCTGTTCTAAAAATTGTTGATCCATTTATTCCCTTTATTGTCACAACTGATGCAAGTCAGTATGGGATTGGCGCAGTTCTTCAACAAAACGACGACAATGGTTACAGACCGATTAAGTTTATGTCTGCACGATTGCCATCTGAAAAGGTTGTCAATTATACCTATGAAAGGGAATTGTATGCGTTAGTCTGTGCCTTAGACACCTGGAAACACTATCTATTAGGGAAACACTTCACTGCGTACTCAGACCACTCTACCCTGAAGTGGATAAAGACACAGCCTAGGCTCTCAAATAAACTAGTACGATGGTCTGCATTCATTGATAATTTTGATTTTGAATTGAACACTATCAAAGGTAAGTCTAACGTGGTTGCAGATGCATTGTCTAGAAGATGTGATTTCTATGGTGCCATTGTCTCTTACCTAGACGTTGGGAGTGATCTGAAAGATAGAATTCGTAAAGGCTATGTTAATGATCCTATATGGAAATCTATCATGGATGTCCTTGCGAAAGACCCGAGTCTACTTCCCAACTATAAGATAACTGATGGTTTGCTTTTCTTGTTARACCAAACTGAACAACGATTGTGTATTCCTCACCAGGAAGAAATCAAAAGTGTGATTATTGGGGAATGTCACGACGTCGAAGGTCATTTTGGTTTCAAGAAAACCTACGCTGAAGTTAAAAAACGCTTTGAATGGAAGGGATTGAAAGAAGATGTACTAACTTTTGTTCGTACTTGTCTTGTGTGTCAGAGAAACAAACACTCACATGAGAATCCACTTGGTCTTCTCAGACCGTTACCAATTCCAAGCGAACCAGGTGAGTCTATCTCCATGGATTTCATGAGTCTCACCAAAAGTCGAAATGGCAATAGCCACGTAATGGTAATTGTAGATCGTTTCTCTAAATATGTTATGTTCATTCCCTTACCCGAAAAAGCCAGAACGGAACTTGTGATCCAAAAGTTTCATATGCGATGGGTGACTGAATATGGTTTCCCTTTATCCATTGTATCTGATCGAGATACCAGGTTCACAAGTATGTCATGGCAAAAGCTGATGGAGGCACACGGTACACGTCTAACCATGTCGTCAGGTAGACACCCTGAAACGAATGGGCAGAGTGAACAAATGAACCATTTGTGCCAACAGCTTCTGCGCATGTATGTAAGACCCAATCAAATAGATTGGGATGAGAACTTACCTAAGATAGCAAGTGCATATAATAGTAGTGTTCATACCTCTACAGGACGAACACCTAACGCACTGCATAAAGGGTGGAAACCTAAGCGTCCCATTGATGTATTGACAAAAGACCAGTTTCTTAGGTTACCTCCAGGGACCCGCGAATACGCAGTATTGTTTCAAGAAGACATTAAAAAGGTAAAGGAGAACTTAAAAAAAACTCAGGACCGGATGATCGAAGAGGCTAATAAACATCGACGACCATCAACGTTCAAAGAAGGTGATCTGGTCTGGGTCAAGTCTAAAGAGTTTTCACTAGAAGAAAATGTGTCTCAGAAACTTCTGTCTGTCTATTTTGGACCTTGGGAAGTTCTTAAAGTGATTGGAGATGCCGAGGGACCGTCTTTCGGAATTGATATACCCCCTCATCTCAAGACCTATTTTGTCTTTCATGCGTCCAAGTTGCTACCTTACGTAGAAGGAGATGAATTCCCCCATAGACCATCTATGATACCACCAGATATGGATGGCGGATATGAAGTGGACGGAATTCTAGAACATGGGTTCTTCTCTACAGATGCACGTGGACGACCCCAGAAGCAATTCAAGGTACGTTTTAAGACTCAAGCACCATCTGAGGACAGATGGTTTAGTAAAAGAGAACTCCTTGAATCTGCTCCTGATATYGTYTCTRCTTATGAACGTGGGTTSAAGTCTTAAATGTTTCTGCGATGGAACTCGAAAATTGGGTCGGCAGGAATGCAGTAACCCTGTTCAGCAGCAGACCGGGGCTCAGAACTTTGCCCCCGGTAAAACACAGACTCAGTTGTCTGTGCTGGGCTATGTGAC